ATAATGGTGCTGTGGACAACTGTGGACAATGGTGCTGTGGACAATGGTGCTGTGGACAACTGTGGACAACAGTGCTGATTCCTGACTGATCTTAAAAACAGTGTCCTCTCCCTGGACAGCGTGGGTCACGAGGCGCAGAGTGTGTGCGTGTAAGTGACAAGTGGGGTCTTGGTGACATCCTATTTCTTGACAACACACATAAAAAAGCCACTGAGATCATTCAGATACAAATGCACTCATACAAATGCAGGTACTGAGCATAAATCACTCACACACTTTCCTGTTACCTATTAATATTTTAAGAGTCAATTTAAAACAAATTGATTGTCTAATACCCAAATATCTTCTGTTCAGTTCATTAGAAATAAAAGGGGAGGGGAGAGGAGAGGAGAGAGGAGAGGAGAGGAGAGGAGAAAATCTCTCACCCACTGATGCACTCCCCAAATGCCCACAACAGCTGAGGCAGAGCCAAGTCACAGGTAGAGAAATCTGGAACTTAGTTTGGGTCTCCCCTGTTGGTGACATGGACCTAAGTACTTGAGCCATCATTTGTGGACTCCCAGGGTACACATTAATAGAAAGCTCGAATTGGAAACAGAGCCAGGACTTGAATACAGGCACTCCAATTTGGATGCACAAATCATAAGCAATATCTTAAATGATGTGCCAAAAACCTGCTCCTCCTTTTCCCAATTTTAAAAATCAGGTTATTTGGGGGGCCAGAGTTGTGCTGTGGCACAGTGGGTTAAACTGTTTGCTTTTTTTTTTTTTCAACAAATTAAAATTTGTATAGATGTAAAAGTTGTGTACTACACATTGAAAAGTGGATGTGATATAATTAACAAAAACAAATGAACTAAACATTGATGTCTAATGTACCTATGACATTTTTAAAGCTAGATTGTTATCCTAAGTACAGAATTCAGTAACTCTCGTCCTAATACTCATGACTAAATAATGTCAAAAAATGTCTTAATTCCTTTCTTGGGTTAATAATAGAATGCATTTAAAATTGTATTTCTCATCCCAGTCAATGGAAGCCTATACAATGTTATTTCAAGTACAAACCTCAGCTGGAATTTTGTCTGCAGAGCTATGAAAAGAGGCTCCATAATAAACTGTTTGCTTTCAATGCTGGCATTGCACATTGGAGCACCAATTCCTGTCCCCGTTGGTCGGCTTCCAATTCAGTTCCCTGCTTATGTGCGTCAAGTACTTGGTCCTCTGCAACCCATGTAGGAGACCGGGTTGGAGTCCTTGGCCCCTGGCTTTTGCCTGACCCAGCCCTGGCTACTGCAGTCATTTGCAGAGTGAACAAGCAGATCAAAGATCTCTATGTCACTCTGCCTGTCAAATACATAAATGAGAAAATCTGCTTTTTAAAAAAAAATCAGGTTGCTTGCTTTCTTGCTATTGACTTATTGAATTCTTCATAAGCCCAATGATGTTCTTCCCAGAAACAGAAAAGCTTATCCTTTCTAAAATTCATGTGGAATACCAGCTGATTCCAAATACACCAATCTGGGAAAAGAAGAATAAAACTGGAGAATTCATATTTCCTGATTTCAAAGCTTTCTATGTGACTATAATAAACTAAACAGTATGACACCGGGCATAAAGACAGGCATACAAGTATTAAGCCCATGAAATAAAAGAGCCCAGAAATAGGGGTCGGCACTGTGGCATAGAAGGTTAAGCCTCCACCTGCAGTGCTGGCATTCCATATGGGCACCAGTTTCAGTCCTGGCTCTTCCACTTACTAGCCAGCTCCCTGCTAATGCACCTGGGAAAGCAGTGGAAGATGGCCTAAATCCTTGGTCCCCATATGGGAGACTAGAAGTTCCTGGCTCCTGGCTTCAGCCTGCCAGCCCCAGCTGTGGTGGCCATTTAGAGAGTGAACCAGCAGAAAGAAGACCTATCTCTCTCCTTCTATCTCTGCCTTTCAAACAAACACATCATTAAAAAACAAAAGCCCAGAAATAAATCCTTGAATATGTGTTCAGACGATTTTCGCAACAGTATCAAGGCCATTTAATGGGGGAATGATAGTCTTTTCAAAAAATGGTGCTGTGATACAGGGGCCCAAGGACTTGAGTCATTTCTACTGCTTTCCTAGCAACATTAGCAGGGAGCTGGATCAGAAGTGGAGCACCTGGGACTTGAACTGGCACCCATATGGGATGCTTGCGCTGAAGGCAATGGCTTTTCCAGCTAAGCCACAGAGCCAGCTCCTTATTTTACAATTATAAGAAGGTAATGATGTGTCCTTCCTTCCTCTCTCCCTCTTCCCCTTCCTTCTTCCTTCCTTTCATTCTGAATACTATATCTGTATCATATATGTATGCATCTATGCATTTGCCAATATTTTTTCCTGTTCTGTGAATTGTTTTAGCACTTTCTTGATGGATCATTTATGGTTATTTTTAAGGTCAAATCAAATAAGCCTGATAGTTTTGCTCTCAGAGGTGC